GTAGCTCGATCCTGTGCTCAGTAACATCTTCCTAGGCAAGATCGATCGGGATCTAGAACCCTGCTTGGAGAAAAACACCAAAAAAGTGTTTAGGTACGTACACGATTATTTGGTGTTCGTTGAGAGGGCTAATTTCGAGCAGAAGCTTGACGATGTGCTGAAGATCTTCACGGAAAAAGGGCTAGGACTTCACTTCACCTATGAAGCCCCAAAACAAAACCTCATTCAGTTCCTGGATCTCCGCATCGAAGTGGGGGACGATCATGTTTGCTGGTGTTACAGTCCCAGAACAGCGAAGGCTCTTCTTAACTTTCAATCAGCCCACTCCAAACTCGTCAAACAAGGCATCGCATTTTCCTGTCTGAGGACTGCTCTAACAAGCCCATGCATCCACAATTTGAATTCCAGCTTCATGTCCCAAATTCAACGGCTCAAGGATTCGGGATATCCTAATTCGGTCATTCCTTCAGCTTGCGAAAAAATCGTGAAACACCTTAAAACAGATCCCGCGATCGAGCAACGTGACCTCGAGCAGAAAGAGAAAAAGAAAACCTAGTCATACCGTACATCCACCGCCTTTCCCACGGACTCAAGAAAGTCGCCTCAAGATACAACGTGAATGTTGTTTTTTCCGCCTGCCACAAGCTCAGCTCTGTGTGCTCCGCAGTCAACAAACGCGCGAGAAATAACGATCCTAAGTCTCACAGTGGCTGCAGCATCAAACACGGAATGCAGTTTAATGTTTAATGTTTAATGTCAGTTTGTCGCCTGCATAGAAGGCGTGGTCTACAAGATTCCGTTTTCCTGCGGGCGTACCTACATAGGACAGACTGGGCGTTGCCTCAACATAATTCTACGAGAACACCACAGTTCTATGAAAGGAACCGCTCACACGCATCTCGCGATGCATTGCCGGGATTGCGGATGCCAACCCTTTTTTAACAAGATGTTCCGACACAACCACAAACTACCCCGAGAAATGATGGAGACGTACCACTTAACACAAACCGGATCCTTGTGTGTGAACCAGCCCACAGTGACTTTGATGAAGAGCGAGATCGGCTTTTTGGATCTCGGATAACTTGGCCGGTTTCGTATTGAGTGAAAGAAGAAGCGCCAGGGCCACGGAGGGGCATGCCTGCGCGAGCAGCAGCAGTATCACATGTCTTTTCTTTTCAATAGAATCAGTTGCTAGTTCAGCGCTTGTCCTGTGTTTTCTCCTCTGTCTGTCCCTGTCCCAGTCGCGCTGTAAGTAATTATGAACTCGAATCATCTGCTTAGGAGCATCTCTAACTTCTTCCTTCATCAGTAAACAGAAGGCCGCCATTAGTATAGCACATATGCCGTTTTCAGATGATGATGATAGTGATCAAAGTGGCCAGACTGAATTCTGAAAAGGGTCTTTTAGCATGGCGGAAGCTTGAAATCATAGCGTTCTTGAACTAACACTGTCAAAACCGTCAAAATTAAAGTCCTCACGTTCCTCTTCTTCGCTGACGTCATAATCAGCATTCGGCCAATCGTGGAATGCCGACCATTGCGACACTTCCGATCGCACACGTCGCCAATACTGACAAATCCTGGCAGATCGTCACGTGACGTGGCCACCGAAAGTGAAAAGGTAGAGCGGCAGACAATGATGATGATGATTTTTTGGCTGTTCCCTTTGAAGCGGGCGGTTTGAATAGAAATCAGACCTAGCCGAATAAAAACGGAGAGAAAAAAAAAATTGCACTACTGTTGCATTCTTCGCCACCAGTCCTCCAGCCTCCGTTTAGGCCTCTCGACTGCGTCGCTGCACTTCCAGCTGGGCTGCAGTGCCACTGTAGCGCGATTTAAGTCCGCACTGGGCCAGCACACAGCATCCCTGCCTGTGTCCCCAACTCGGAAGCCGACGGCTTCTGCCAGAAATTGTTCGTGTGAATGTGCCTCGTCTAGATGCAGCCCGTTGTCTGGCGCCTGGCCCCAATCCACCGGGTGTCTTGGTACGAGACTTGGGCAGGAGAGCACAATATGCTTGATAGTTTCCTCGGTTTCGCCACATGCCCGGCATGATGTTGATTGTACCTGTTGGTCATAACGCTGCCTGTACACTAGCGTTCTTATCCCTCCCGCACGTGCTTCAAAAAGCAGGCGGCTGCCCAGGCTATTATCATACAGGGTTGTCTCTGTCGATATTTCATTTTTCCAGCGGTTGTACACTTGCAGGGTTGACTTTGAGCGGGCCGCCTCCGACCACTGCACAGCCTCTTCCTCGCGCACTCTCTTCCGCACCTCCAGTTCCCACTTTTGCTCTGTAGTGGCAGCCACGGGCACAGTAAAGAAGCCATATTTCTTTTCCAGCTGGTACAGTCGCTTTCTCAACTTTGTCTGTATCCCTGTCAGGTGTATGTACAGAAATAGTCGTTTGGCCCACCGTCCTCGGTCCATGAGTCGCAGACGCCCGTCGTAGCCGATCTTGCTAGCTGCTTCTCTGGCTTCAAACGATGAGCATCCAAGATCTCCTTGGGCAGCTTCGTTCGCCACCATGCCATGGCAGCCTAGGGCCTGCCTCCCAACTTCGCGCTGCCGGCGCTCCAGAATGTCCCTCATGCCTCCAGGAATGCACACAACAGCATTAGCAAACGTTAGGCCAGGGACCATGGCTGCTTTTCAGAGTTCCCTTGTAACCTGAAATCGATTGCAGCTCCATAGGTTACGCTTGCGAAGGACACTTGTGTTTCGCATGGCCGTCTTTCTGAGGTGGGGATGGTGTTCCGCTAAGTATTCTGGCTTATTTGTGAGTAGATTACCCAGGTACTTATAGGTGCCTTGCAGGGGGATTCGTTCGCCCTTCAGCACGCAGTGACCAAGACGCGGCTCTTCAGGTCCGGCTAGTTGCACGACTGCCGACTTTTTGCTGTTGAAGCGAAGGCAGCGCGCATCCGCCTCTTCTACACAAATGACTAAAAGCTGTTGTAGTGACTCTACACTTTCCGCTGTAAGTACGATGTCATCCGCAAAGGTGAGACCTGGTAGCGTCCAGTTCACTAGCTCTCCTTTTTCTAAATGGGTGAAAGAGAATCCTACCCCCGACTGGAGCAAGCGCCTCTCTAGCCCCGACAAGAGTCATGTAACGGGCGCCCCGCTGCGGCGAGACGCCGAAACACACTTGTCCCGAGCGATGGAATGTCCGCTCGTGCTTTTCGCGTTCGTCGGGCTACCGCTTCTCTCTTGTTGGGTTTGAAAACTATGTTTCGGGTCCTCGCCACTACAAAAGCTGTGCGCTGAGCACCGAACTCCCGAGAAATACTTTGTGCTACCAGATCCTCGCGCTCTAAATCTGCGACCGGGCACTCTATGGCTTCGTCATCGAACTGCCAGGCTCTGTGAGTATAGAGGAGGCTATGGCCCAGTGTAACGTGCTGTAGTTGAGCTTGTTGGTGCATAATACTATAATAGGGCCAGCTGAACTTAGGAAAATAGAATATAAAAAGAAAAAGAGACAGACATACCGCTGGACTACCATCTGTGGTTAATACTTCCTCCTCTTTCTGAACTTTGACTTTGTGTTTGTTTTGTTTTTTTGTTTTGTTTTTTTGCTTTTGCTTTGAAGTTCACATAAAGACACAGCTTATATCCAAAAACCTAACTAAACTTAAATTTGAATCACCCACACTTCACCGGGACATACAAAACACCGGGAATATTGGCCCAGTGCAAAGCGAGAAAGTGCGATCCAGCAAATTGTCAAAGAGATCAGTGAACAGCACCTGGGCCCGTTTTCTCGAACGCGAACCGTGGTTTAAAGTTTACTATTGTCCCTAGAGGGGGGAATTCCAGGTCACGTGACTGGGAGAGCAGGGGCGCCGAGGGAGGAGCAGTACCTAGACGGACCAAATTGCTCTTTTGGTCCGCGGGCCGCGCATCATGTGATCTTACGTCACCGGTTTTTGAGGTCCGCCGGCGGTCCGCGGCCCGCGCTTGTGAGAAATGCCAAGCGCTTTTTTCGCCCGGACCTTGGCGGCGGACCGAGGCGTTTTTAGTATAATTGAAGCGCTAAGTCGGGCAACAAGCTTACTTTTGTTGTTTGGATTGGAATTCAAATCCAAAGTCGTTTTCTTTTTGGCGCCAACTGTGGAAGACAAAGAAGACGAACCTTTTGTTGTGCGACGATGCAACTTTTTACTTCATCGCGCTCATGGAGCAATTCCCCGCTCCGTGGGACAATAGTCGCGACGACTACCCAAATAATCATCTAAAGATGTCCCCATGCCTTTTTCGGTTCACTTAAATCGTCCTCGTCCTCAATATTCAACGCCAGGGCCACCGCAGCCAAACGTCTCTCTCGTTCAACCTCCATCTTGGCTGCTTACAAATAGCCTCAAAGCAGCTCGCTGCATGCGTTTGGCGGAGCTGTGAGGTCGAGAGTTAGACCGGCCCGTTCGCTCTGTCGTCTGCTCTTTTGGTCCGGAGTGTGGATGCTCATTGCAGCCGGGCGGCCCGCGGGCCGTGCATCACGTGATCATTCGGTCCGCGGCCCGGTCCGTCGTGTGGATACACCTTTAAAGGTGTATCCACACGACGGACCAAATTGCTGTTTTGGTCCGCGGGCCGCGCATCACGTGATCTTACGTCACCGGTTTTCGAGGTCCGCCGGTGGTCCTCGGCCCGCGCTTCTGAGAAATGCCAAGCTACTTTACTCGCCCGGACCTTGGCGACGGACCGCGGCGTTTTTAGCATAATTGAAGCGCTAAGTCTGGCAACAAGCTGACTTTTGTTGTTTGGATTGAAATCCAAATCCAAAGTCGTATTATTTTGGCGCCAACTGTTGAAGACGAAGAATTGATTGATTGATTGATTCCTTTAATGACAAGGATGGCTCGAGGCCGCAGTGGGGAAGAAGGGGAAGGGGGGGGGGGGGGGGGAGGGTATAGTGGAGGGGGTTTAGGGGGTAGCGCGAGTCGAGGGGGAGGGGTCGAGGGGGTGTAGCGCGAGTGGACTAGGGCAGTCCACTCGCACTACACCGCTCGGTATAAGCCACTGATTTTTCCATGATCTGCGACCGCCTTTTGGGCATCATCGTCTGTTTGTATAATAGCAGTAAGGGCTGCAAGAGAGGTCACTTGTAGGTCGTCGATGCGGTCTCGGCCCCGTGCGAAGGCAGGACAGTACTTTATAAGATGCCACAAATCTGCGCGGCACTGTTGGAGACAGTGGCTGCATCTTGGTGGTGCGGCTGACACAGGTGGCGGCTGCCACTTACTGATTATGTGTGGTGTGTAGGCCGCGTTCGCGATGACTTTGTTTATAAAAACTTCTTGCTGCCTAGAAAGTCCTTTGATGACAGGCGTCTGGGGTGTAGCTTCCATGATACGCTGTTTGCTAGCGGTCTTTATGGAGGTGCGAATGAAGTGCATGTACGTTATATGCCTGTTCAAGGGTGTTTCGGTTGGATCCAGGTGATAAGGTGTCTTGAGTGTGGGATTGTCGGGGTGCGGGGTGGCGTAAGTGTGGTCCGTCCCGCGTGCCTGTACGGCTGCTGCATGCGCCGCAGCATTACCCCCGTCATTCGCTGTATGTCCTGGGGTCCAGAGTATGTTTACCTTAATTCCAAATTCTTGAAGCATCTGCAGTCTTTTTCTAATTTGATTCGCTGTGGCGTCTTCCGTGGTGGAGGAGGATAGTTCCTGGACCGCTGCGAAGGAGTCGGTTAAGATGCGATATTGGTGTCGGAGGGTCGCGTCTCTGTCAGTGAAGGCTGTGTTCTGTACGTCCTCCAGTGCTCCCCAAATGGCGAGGAGTTCCGCATGGAGTGCGGTGCCCTGTGGGAGAGCACATGAGTGCTGTCCTTGTATGCGAGGGTCGGTGTCGCAGATCCAGGCCATGCTGACTCTGTCGTTTCTTGCCGTTGCGTCCGTATAGACGTTGACAATGTCTGCACTGCTAGCGTGCCGGCAGCTTCGGCTGCGCCTAGCCTCTGCGGCCAATCTGAGCATAGGGCGGTTGGTGAAGCTTCCATGCGGGGGAGTTTCCCACGGTGAAATGATCCCACTGACGTCCGGCATTGTATCGCACCGTCGCCTTTGGTCCCATAGGATTGTCAGCTTTCCCTGGTAGGAGTTGTCCAAGCGGGACTGCATTCGGATACAGGCTTCGGTAATGATGGTCTGGATCGGAGGTATTGGTGCCAACTGATGGAGGAGGGTCATCCTAGTGTGCTTGGGCAGCCCCGTTACTGTACGCAGGGTGGCTCTGTGTAACTGTTCTATGTCGCGTAGGTCTTTCGGAGAGAGTTCGTATACCGGCGCCCCATAGAGGACTCTGCCTACTGCAACCGCACGCGCAAGGGTTGCGGTTGAGCTTTGTCGCGCCCCGCCATACTTGTTGGACATGCGGCGGACGGCGTGAAGGAGGGGTGTCCAGTTCTTACGTAATGTTTGAATCCACTTGTGTGTGCTATTACAGCTAGCGATCTGGGCGCCAAGGATGCGAATATGTCCATTTGCTGAGGTGATTGGTGCCGAGCCGAGCACAAGGGTGATTTGCTTCCGCGGGTTGGTGACGCGCTTTCCGTCTATGCTGATGAGTTCGGTCTTCGCGGGTGATAGTTGCAGCCCCAGTTCATCTAGGGTTTTCTCTAGACTTAGGACTGCTGCTTGTAGTTCAGTTTGCATTTGTTGTTCATCTAGGTGGTCGCTAGCTTCAGTCCATATTGTAATGTCATCTGCATAAATAGTAAATCGTGCCGTGGTGTCTCGTTCCAAGGCATCCGCTACCCTTGCCATGGCGAGATTGAAAAGCATTGGCCCGAGTATAGAGCCTTGGGGCACGCCTCTGTCAAGGTAGAATGTGCATGGCGTCCACCCCGGTGCGGTTCCGTGAAGGCGTATGGGTCTACTGTGAAGAAAAGAACGAATCCAGTTGTAGGCTCGTTGGCTGGGATATCTCTGAGCCAGTTCATGAAGGATGACTTCCTGCCGAACGTTGTCAAAGGCCTTTCGCATGTCAATGGCCAGGACATAGTCAGGCATGAGTTTCCGGGATTTCCTGTTGATCACTCGCCGCAGAAGCCAGAGGCAGTCGTGCGTACCCATGTTGGGACGAAAGCCTGCCTGCGCCGGGTGAAGGCCCGGTTGGACGTATTCGAGGTAGTGTTGCATTCGGGCGAATATCATTCGTTCGATAAGTTTGCATATCGTTGACGTAAGTGATATGGGGCGTAGGTTCTCGGGCTTGGTGGGGTCCTTGTTGCCTTTAGGTATCGGATATATGAGCGAAAGCTTGAGTGTATCAGGCACAGAGCCCTGTTCCCAGGTGTCATTAATGATGTCAAGTAGCTTTTGTTGTGCTGAAAGAGGAAGATTTCGAAGGTCTTGCCAATTGACGTTGTCGTGTCCTGGGGCTGAGCGGGCCTTACTTTTCAATAGTGCCGCGGTAAGCTCCCCCAAGGTGAAGGGAGCGTCAAGCCCTGGATCAAGGTTTGTTATTGTTCGCTCCGGAAGATCGGGTGCTGGGCTGTCGCGAGCGTGCGGGAAGAAGGTCCGTATTACCTTCGTTTCCACCTCCACTGGGTTGCCTTGCAGTAGAAGGACTTTCAGTGGGGGCTGTCCTTTCTTCTTCCCGAGCATGCTGCGGAGAATGCCCCATAGGCGCTGAAGCCCAGGAATTTCTCCGAGCTTCGCGCAAGTGGAGTGCCACGTCTCCGTCTCAAGTAGCTGCTGGTGGGCTTGTATGGTTTTATACTGATTTTTAAGCTGCATGAGATCGCGGTGGCGCTTACCACCATAGCGGTACCGGTGCGTGAGTTCATGTACTCTTTTCCAGAGGTTTGCAAGGTGTGCGTTCATGCACGTTGTTGTCTCGTCGCATTCAATCATCTCTGACGCCGCGGGCTTAGCGCTGTATATGATGCTGGCGAGCTGCTCGAAGGAATCGAAAGGCTGTTGCTGCGTAAGCTGGCGGTAAATGTTCCAGTCGATACGCGCGTGCGCGCTTCGCTTTCACATCTTCTTGCGGTTAAGGGTAATGAGGATCGGATAGTGATCACGGCCCCAGGTGATGGACATTGTGTCCCATTTACGGACAAATCTTGGAGTCGCGAAGGTAAGGTCCGGTGTGGTGTCGCGCTGTCGGGAGTGCAGCCCCACTCTTGTGGCCGTGTCAGGTGCATTAACCAAATCGAGAGCGGACATTTCCATGGCGTCGTGAAGGGCGTTGCCTCTGGGGTCTGCTTTGCGGTAGCCCCATGCGGGGTGTTGGGCGTTAAAATCACCCCCAATTATGATGGGGTGGGAACCCGCCCGTTGTTGGATGTCTCGTACCCACTGAAAGTCATCCTGTCGTGCTCTCCCTGTGTTTGGCCTGTAGTAGACGCAAACAGCAACAAATGGTTGCTGCCCAGGGGGTTGAATTTTGGCGGCGATCACTTCGCGGTAGTCGTTGCTGATATTGGGAAGGGGGAGTTCAATCGAAGTACAGTCCCGTCTGGTCAGTAGGGCCGCTTGACCCTGAGCTCTTGGTTGTTGTGTGACAGGATCTAAGTGTAAAATCGTATTGTGTTGGATCGTATTGTATCCTTGAATATGGCATGGGCCTCGTGTTTCTTGTAAAAAAATCGCAATCGGTTGTAGGTGGGTTACACGTCCCCTGAGTGTTGTTCCGGTCTGGATGTAACTTCTGCAGTTCCATTGAAGGCAGGTAAGCGACTTGCTCATTTTCCCTCAGTGGGAAGCTTGCGTCGTTTCACGTCGTCCCTCTGTGTGATTTGTCGGAGTTCTGTCATTACTGCCTCTAGCTGCTCATGGAAGGTAGTGGTTAATGTCGTGAGTTCCTCTCGGAAACTGTTTTCAAGTTTGCGTGATTCTGTGTGTCTCTCTTGCCGGAGGATGCCTAGAATTTGGACGATGGACATTTCGTTCGTTGGCATGGGTACCTTGGGCACGGGCCGTCTCTTTGGAGTGCTGCTACGTGCTCTCGGTGTGCGAGTTCTGCTTCGAGGTTTTCTCTGCGTTGTACTCGAAATGTTTTCCGTCACAACTTCCCCACTCACAGAAGATTGGGTTGACAACTGCGTCGCCAGCTGCTCCAGTTTGATACGTAGCTGTTGGTTTTCGAGGCGCAGTTCATCGATTTGTCTTTGATATTCATTTACCTGCGACTTTGGCTTATCCGAAGTAGTTTTGGACTTAGCTACTGTTGCCCATGTCACCGTCTTAGAATTCTCGTTACGTGTCGTAGCTTCTGGGGGTGCCTGAATAAGTCTGCTCGGACAGGCCGAGTTCAGCGAGATGTGGCCGGGCTTTTGGCAGGCGACGCAGAAAAGGTCCCCTATGCAATCGGGATCCGGGGGATGCTGGGGACGACCACAGTCTCGGCAAACCGAGTCCTCAGGACAGTGCTTGGCAATGTGGTCCAGCCCGTGACAGTTGAAGCACACTATGTGCTTGGGGCGGTAGTCGTACACCCTTAATAGTTCGTAATCGAAGACGATCTTATAGGGAGGCTTTTCAGTGTCGAAGGTGATGAGCAGCATATCGGTTTTCCCGAGTCTTTTGGCGTCAAGAATGGTAGCGGTCTCACATCGGAGGTGGTCCATAATGTAGTCCAGCGACTGATCTGGTCTAACCTTGATGACCCCCTTGCTTCCCTTAGGCTGTCGATCTGGCATTCGTTCTATCTGTACCGCATATGTTTGTTCCTTGCCTTGCGTTTTGCCTGTGAGCGTCATTAGCTTCGAGAGTTTATCAGCATGTTGCTCGTCTCGTACTGTCACCTTTACGCAGTTCGCAATGGGATCGTAACGATAGAGAGCTAGATTTGCTATTTGCCAGTTCCGCGCCGTAAGTTCTAGGGCCGTCGTAATGGCCTGCTTTGGTATATTATGTACATGCGTCTTATTCAGTGGCCTAATCGAGAGGATGTAACGGGGCCGACTTATCCGTTCGGTGCGGAGCTGCGAGGGCTCTATTTTCCTCTGCGGTTTTCGTCTGGTGTGGGGCATCCAGCCTTCTTCCTCGTTGACTGCTGTTTCTTCGTCACTCAAGGTTCGGTCTGTGTCCATTCGGTTGCTCTCGGGTAAGGACGCGTCTTTTGGGGCGTTCCCTACGCGGGAAGACGTAGACTGCGCGCAAGGCAGAGCCCTGGTTTGGTTGCATGTGGTGGTGGTATCACTTGTGAGGTGGAGTGATGCCTCTATTGTTCCATTTCCTAACATGGCCGAGTTCATAGGGTCACCGTCCGTGGGTCCGGGAGTTGAAAAGAGGTCAAGAGACTGGGAACGGGGCCCAGCTGAAGCCATAGTGGCTGAGACTCTGGCAGACTGGGACGCCGCACCCCTCGCTAGGCCATAGAGTGGATTAGGCCTAGCGAAGGGCGGCGACTCTTGGCTCCGTGAGAGTCGTAATTCCCTTGAAAGTCGAGGACGTGGAGCTTGCACGCTTACCGACGAAGTTCGCCGGGGCGTTGAGGCCTTTGTCGCAAGGTTAGGGCGAATTTTGCGATATTTCAAAGTAAGAAATATACGGAGCGTTAAGGACGTGCGTCTCTTCCAGTTCACTTCCTCTTCTTCCTCTCCGAAGACGAAGACAAACCTTCTGTTGTGCGACGACGCAACTTTTTGCTTCATCGCGCTCATGGAGCAATTCCCCGCTCTGTGGGACAATAGTCGCGACGACTACTCAAATAACCATCTAAAGATGTCCCCATACCTTTTTCGGTTCACTGAAGTCGTCCTCGTCCTCAATATTCAACGCCAGGGCCACCGCAGCCAAACGCCTCTTTCGTTCAACCTCCATCTTGGCACCTTACAAATAGCCTCAAAGCAGCTCGCTGCATGCGTTTGGCGGAGCGGTGAGGTCGAGGGTTAGACCGGCCCGTTCGCTCTGTCGTCTGCTCTTTTGGTCCGGCGTGTGGATGTTCATTGCAGCCGGGCGGCCCGCGGGCCGCGCATCACGTGATCAATCGGTCCGCGGCCCGGTCCGTCGTGTGGATACACCTTTAAGGTGTATCCACACGACGGACCAAATTGCTGTTTTGGTCCGCAGGCCGCGCATCACGTGATCTTACGTCACCGGTTTTCGAGGTCCGCCGGCGGTCCGCGGCCCGCGCTTGTGAGGAATGCCTAGTGACTTTTCTCGCCCGGACCTTGGCGGCGGACCGTGGCGTTTTTAGTATAATTGAAGTGCTAAGTCTGGATTGGAATCCAAATCCAAAGTCGTGCCCTTTTGGCGCCAACTGTTGAAGACAAAGGAGACCAAGGAGGTTAGAAGTACTAGGAGGGGGCACGTTGCAATATTGGTGAAGCCTAGTCATAAAAAGTTTAAACGATTTTGTGCCCAGCGTGACCGCAGATCTCTCTGGCGATTGGTGCGCGTGACATGTCACGTGTGAGATGGATGGTTGATTGTAGAACGGCTCCTTCCAGGCTTGCGCGCGCTCCGTCCGGTAGGTTTTATCAGAGCGAATGCTAGACTGTGGTGTATTCCAGTACCCCATAGCAAGACGAAGGCTAGCTATGGTCACGTGATGTGGTCACGTCGGCATGGCAAGTGAGGAGAGTAAGGAGGAAAATGAGAAAGAGGCGAGACGTCAAGGGAGCATGGCTTGTGGAGGCTACGCGGCTGACGTCATGCCCTCTCCTACCCTTCTATTCTCCATGAAGGAGACACACCTTTTGTTGTGCGACGATGGCGGCATGGTGCGACGATGCAACTTTTTACTTCATCGCGCTCGTGGAGCAATTCCTCGCTCTGTGGGACGTTTGGCCACCGCGGCCGAACGTCTCTTTCGTTCAACCTCCAGCTTGGCTCCTTACAAATAGCCTCAAAGCAGCTCGCTGCATGCGTTTGGCGGAGCTGTGAGGTCGAGGGTTAGACCGGCGCGTTCACTCTGTCGTCTGCTCTTTTGGTCCGCCATGTGGATGCTCATTGCAGCCGGCCAGCCCGCGGGCCGCGCATCACGTGATCAATCAGTCCGCGGCCCGGTCCGTCGTGTGGATACACCTTTAATGAGGGCTAATAGTTCTGCTTGGTTCTGCTGAACATTCATTTCGATCTGGCTGTTATGTTTATGACTCACCATCAAACTCATCAGCACGTCAAGCAAAGCGATAGTTCAGAGGGACTACTAAACTAACCGACGGCAGCATTCCGCGAACGCATCACTCTTCAGCAGTCCGAGATCCAAGACATATGACGGTACATAAGCCTTGCAAGTGTTTTTATGGTGAGTAAAAAAAAATGTTTTGCGAACGAGTGTTGGTACATATTTAAACTAAGATGTTTAATTTGTTACACTATGCACGCCAACTCGTGAGCAGCGATTACTTTGCGGAGAAAGGGGGTTATCCTCAATAAAGTCTTCGTTCGGGGTGAACAGTTGAGACATTGTACTGTTTTTTTTGTTCACAGTGCGCCGACAGTATGCCGACAGCATTGAGGTTTCTACATATCCCCGGCGACCAGCAATTCAACGGTGACGAGAAGCCGGTGACGAGAAGCTTAGCTTCTCGTCACCGGTGAATCGGTTGGGCAAACGGAAGGGAGGGCAAACAGTTGAGATCAGCAGGAATCGCAGAAACGTGCGTCGCCAGGAACGAAAACGAGACTACAGCACCGGCGTTGCCACACTGGAAGAAACACGGGAAAGTTATGCGTTGTTTATGGCGAAACATATTGAAGGAAATATTTCTTACATTTTCGAATATTCGTCGGCAAACTCTAGCATAGTAGCTAAAATTTCTTCGTACCATCGGAAACAAATAAATTGGTCTTCAAGTACAACATTACTATATTTTGACTTAAAATACCATACTAGATCGACGACAACCAGCGGAAAAAGAGGATAAACAAAATGACTGGCTTGTTTTACCGATAGATGG